CACCTCGGATATTTTGGTGGCCAACTCGTTTAGCTGAGTTACCAGTGTGGTTAACTTGAAGTCCCTCTCGACTTCTTGACTCATCTCAGCCGAGTTGCTACCATTTCCCTCAGCCATGCTCAGGGTATCTGCCTACATCAACAACTCAAAGAAAAACAAAACTAAAAATTAAGTTAGCAAACTACGATTACCAAAAGCAAAGTTCAACTTAATTAAAACATTTCACGTAACACCACTCCCCGGCAGCGGCACCATTTTGATGTTTGCGTAATCAAGACACAACTTCCAATGCAAGTGTCTATGATCGTACAATAGTAAAGTAACCCAACCAAGGGTTGGGGTTGAATCCCAAGGGAGTGGTTACTGAAAATTAGTGGTTAAGTGCGAAAGTGCTAAAACTAATTGTAGCTAAAGACTTTACCGAATGAAGACATGACAAATTAAAGGGTTTGACACGAGTGTCAATTATCAATATGGGGTTTGTAAGCAAGTAAAGAGCAAAATCAGTAAAAAATAAAGAGAGATACGGATGCGGAGACGGGATTCTTGGGGATGTGATAGGAATACGGGTTAGACTAAACTATTGGGTACATGCTTTTGATAGTAAAAAGGTTGAATATTTATAACTAGTCTAGACTATAGTAGGGGTAAATTCTCTCTCGAACAACGTACCCTGAATCAAATGGGTTCCTCTCGGATACCCACTTGCCGCACGAAGAACAACCTCCGCCTTAGTCCACTCAGTCTCTCGAGCTGAGTGTGTGGGAGAAGGACTAGGGTTCACTCTCTCGAGCTGAACCTCATGTCGACCCACCCCCACCGGCCATCAATTTAGCAGTCTTAGTTTTACGACCTCTCTTGAGCAAGATGAAAAAACACAAAGGTGAAATCGTATTTGCAACTACAATTTCATTAAGTTCCAACACAACTACTAAACGAAATCACATCTAAACAACAAATAAACTATCAGCAAGCAAGATCCAACAATTAATCTAACCCATATTCATAAAATCATACCCCAAGAATTAGGGGTTTAGCTACACATGTAAAAGAGGTAAAAATGTATACCAATATCATTTTCCATCAATGGGTATGCAAGATTAAATCTTAAAACAAGTCAAAAGTGAAGAATACACAAGACCCAAGTCCAAAATCTTGGAGTTGAAACCCTTGGAATATTCAAGTTCTTCAAAACCCTCTCCTAGCTTAGAGAGAATATTCTACGTTTGATATTAAAACTTAATAATAAAACTTGATAATAATAATTTCTACTCTGATACTAAACCACAAAACTTCAACTAGTATTTATAGTTTTCAGAAAATGTGTTGCGAAGGATCACTCGGCAAAGTTAGTCGGGATCGTCGATCAACTCGGCGATCCGCCCTTTGGTCTAGTTCATCGCCGTCTTGCGTTAGCCTTCAGAATCATCATGTTTTGGATCATTGGGCGACATAGTACAGCTTCGTGGAACTGCTCGGTGATACGTCGACTGCTCTTTTTCACCGCCGATTTGATCCTTTCTTTCAGGGTTCAACACACTGGAACAAAAAGGCGAGGATAAGACCTTTTGGCGACTCGCCGAACGGGTTCGGCGATTCTCAGATCTTAATTTCTTCGTTCTTTCAGCTGCTTTTGTTCGTTTTTGCTAACTAGTGTTCATGCTTTCCCTCAAACTCCAAATACCTGAAACTTAAGTGTTTTCATCAGATATAGAGACAAAATATGCATTTGAGGACACTAATTCTATCAAAACATAGCCCTAAATGAGTCCAATTTGTAGACTCATCAGTAACTGATCTCTAGATAGGAATATTGGGCCAAAAACTGTATCCTATGTATACTTGCATTGTTGCATGCATTTTCGATAATCTTACTTTATCTTTAGTGATTTGAGTTAATCATTTTTTTGTCTAGGGGTGGTACAATATAGATTGAATGTCAATGTAATTTATTAGAGCTTTGAATTGATATATGAAGTACACGTTGGTGGATTTTAAAAGGTATGAATGAAATATGAAGAGTAGCGATTTTTATGAAAAGTTGCAACGTTTATGAAAGGTTGTGACCTTTACGAAGGATTGTAAATTTTTCAAAGAGTTGGAACCTTTCTGATAAGGAACAATAAGCATTTGTTCACACTATCCTTTGTTGTCTATAAATAGAGGGATTTTCTCTCATTTTAAAATGAAATTTCTGGACTTCTTCTTCTTCTACACAATTAAATATTCGTGTTCTTTGCCCCTGTCGAGTGACTCACCGACACAATTATTATTGTATCAACACATTGATGAATTAAATTGTTCTATCCTGAGGGGATCTAAACCTTTAAACCTCGAGTACTAGAAGAGAATAATTTCTTTAAGGGGACATTGTTCATTCAGTGGCTCGATTTTTTCTTTTCTATTTCATTCTATTCTTAATACGTTATTTTACCGTCATTAATTTATACTTATATTATTAATTGTTATTTTTGAGTACATGATTTAAACTTTGTTGTTTGTATTTCTGTAAAGTTATTGTTATTAAACACATGTTAATTGAGTATTCACACAAGTTTTTTCTACTGAAATTGTTGAATGTACAATAACAAAAATCCCTTAAAGATCTATACTACCATCTATTGAAGAAAAAATTCAAATTTGGTATGCTATTGTAAGAACATAACGACCTTAAAAACCTTATCGTACCTTGATGTGCAAAATGAACTTGCAAAAGAAGACAAAAATAATAAACTTTTGACATGACTTCAAAGATGTTGTGCCAGATAACCTATAGAGGAATGTGACTAGATTGGATCCTCTTTTAATCCCAAAGACATAAATAACTACACAATAAATTAATTACTCATACTCAATATGAAGTATGGGTAGATTCTCAAGTTTACTACAAGTTGTAAATACTTTTCTTGATGTAGTAGATGTGTTTCTCGACACTGCGATTGGAATAGAAGTGTAGTTTCAAATTGAACTCAATCACTCTGGTATGCTGATTTTTAAAAAGCACCCAAACAAACTGAATAGTTTTGTGTAATATTTTTCCCTTTCAATTATATATGATAAGTTGAATTGTTGTCTGATATGATACATTCTTCCTTTAATTTTCCATTTTAATAATTTCTTATGATACATTTAAATTAGGTACTTTAAAATGATATATGTAAAACAAAAGATAGGGCTGAACTTTCTACATGTTAAAGTTAGAATATTTGTTTATTTTTTCGGCCTTTTAAAATTTATTTATCTCTTCACCAATTATTATTTATTTAATAGAAAAATTAACATCTCAGGTTGATGCTCATTTGTAGGGGTGGGCATGAATACCGGAAAATCGAAAAATCGAACCAAACCGAACTAATTCGATTCTTCGGTTTCAATTCTTTCATTTTTCGGTTCGATGTCGGTGTTATTTTTTTGAAAGTTCGGTTCTTCGGTTCGGTGTTCAGTGTAAGGGTCTCAAAACTTCGGTGCATCGAAGAATCGAACTTTTATTTAACTAAAAATTAAAAATTATATATATATATATATATATATATATACATACTTGTTTTTCTCGAGAAATAGTTGGAGGCACAGTGTTCTTGAAAAAGACAAATATAGTCTTTTAGTTAGCACAATAAGTGTTCCACGGTGATACACATCATTCCTTAACATAGTTTTAAATTTCTAAGTATCTTATACTTTATAATTATTTTAGTTTTCATTCACACCAAATTAAACCGAATAGAACCAAATTAGTATGGTTTAATATACGGTGAACACTTTTCTAAAACCAAAAATCGAAGAATCGAATCGAAGTTTGATAAAACCGAACCGAAGAACCGAATACCCACCCCTACTCATTTGATTCCCAAAAATATCAAATAGTAACACTTTCTAGAAGCAAAAGGTTAAATTATAAAATTATTAATGTTGGTTACTATGTAATCTTGTATGTAAGATAATATAATATATAGTTTTAATGACTGATAGGTTTTAAGTATTATTTTATAAATTTTGTAATATTGAATATCCGCACGAGGCGCGGATAATTTTCCTAGTATAGTACTCCCTCTGTCCCTAGTTACTTGTCAACTCTTGAATTGACAAGAAAACAATGATTGACATAATGAATTTATCATTTTATCGTATTAATTATGAAGCAAATGAATTAAATTGCTTGATATGTGAAAATGGACAAATAAAAAGAGGCAAATAAGAAAAAGACATCACAAATAATCATATATACATATAAAAGAGAACCTTAGGCCCGCCTACGTGGCGTCACCACAAACAAGAATTCACTTTTAATTTATTTATTTCCAAAACTAGCTTTCCTCTTTCATGAAAAGTTGCGACATTTATGAAAAGTTGCCAGTTTTATGAAGAGTTGCGACTTTTATGAAAAATTGTGGCTTTTATGAAAAATTGTGACTTTTATGAAGAGTTGCGGTTTTTATGAAAAGTTGTGACTTTTATGAAAAGTTGTGACCTTTCCGAAGGGTTGCAACTTTTTCCAAAATAGTTGTAACCTTTCCGATAAGGCACAATAAACATTTGTTCACACTACCTTTTGTTGTCTATAAATAGAGAGATTTTCTCTCATTTTAAAACAACGAAAATTCTGAACCTACTCTTCTTCTTCACAATTAAATATTTGTGTACTTTGCTCCTGTTGAGTGGCTCACTGACACCATTGCTTCTGTTGTAGATCCTTATATGTATGTATTTTTACAGTCATTAATTTATGCTTATAAGGATAAATGATAAGATGTAATAATTTTCATTTTCCTTTACATTATTAATGTTTGTTACTACGTAATCTTGTATGTAAGACAATATAGTGTTTTAGTTTTAATGACTGATAGGTTTTAAATATTATTCTATAAATTTCGTGATATTAAATTTTCACACGAAGCGCGTGTAATTTTACTAGTTAGGGATAAAACGAGTATATTTTTCTACTAAAAAATATACTGTACCAAGCGCCCCTATTTAAATCCTTGAAGTTTGGAAGTGGAGGGAGTAAGAGCCGCCGCTATTGTGTGAATACTGAATACCCTCGAATCTCAATCTCTCTTGATTCTCCTGGAACCTTCTCGAATCAGGAAAGAGCCTACACCTATCCTTATTTAAAATCTAACCCATCTCCACTACGTTTGACCCATTCTCCGCTCTGCATCTAATCTAATCTAATTTCATTCTTTGGATCTTTCTTTGATAATAATGGAGGGAGGTGCAGCAGTATCGACAGAAAAACAGAACGAATCCACGCCGTCTTATACCTACTGGGTTAGACAAACGACGCAAGATGCTGCACCTTTACCTCTTCCAAAGAAGCTCACATCTGACGACCTCAATAATCAAGCCAATAATACCCAAACCCACCTAGGCTCTGCTTGGAATCGGGTATGTACCAAATACCCACTCTCTTTTTCTTATTTTGTTTTTTGATCTTGACAGGGGAATAGAAAAGTTTGATCCTCTGTGTTTTCTACATAATTTTGGTAGAAACATCACATATTTATATTGTTTTTTTTAATCTCTGTTGGATGATGTAGTAGCTTCGTGGTAATGGATGAGTAGGGAGATTATGTTTTTATTTGATTTTTTTAGGATAAGGGTAGTACCTATGTCTTTTGCTCTCTTGAAGTCAGAGAAGAATTCCTATGGTTATATGTTCAAAATATGTTTACAACAACATATACCCAATGCAGCCTCACAAAATGGGGTGTAGGGAGGGTTAGAGGTAGAGAAGCTGAATTTGATGGACCTTGGACTCGAGGAAAATCAGTGCAAAGCAGTTCAAGAAGAGAAGCAATGGAAGTAAAAATGATAAGTAAAATTGAAAATCAAATTAAAAAATATTTAACAAGTAAATAGAGATGAAACAGAGGGAGTGGGAGTAGAATTTATAAGGGGCGTGTGTAGTGTCAGAGAAAAAAAGATACATAAATGACTAAACCTGGTAGGAAAATGAGGCTATCCGCATCTTTAACAAAACTCACAAACCGCAAAATGACGTCGCCATATAAGTGAACTTCAGCCATATAGAAAAATCTTGCATCTTGTCCTCCACCAAAGTCAATCCACCTCGTCTCGGATATCCTTATTTCTAATTTTATCTCTCTTAGTATGCCCATACATCCACCACAACATTTTCGTTTCTACAACTTTCATCTTTTGAATGTGAAGTTCTTGACTGGCCAACAATGTGCACTGTACAATATAGTTGGTCCAACCACCAGTTTGTAGAACATGTTTTTAAATTTTGGTTGCACCATCTTGTTACATAAGATTCCGGAAGTGAGCCTCCACTTCATCCACCCTGCACAAATATAGTGAGTGACATCCTCCTCAAACCCTCATTTACTTGTATAAACCCAAGGCATGATAGTATATTCTAATGACTACTTGCTTGTTAGCCCTAAAGAATAATCACTTGTCATGTTTTAGGTAGCTTAAAACTTCAATATAATGAGCCCTTCTTGTACGTTAGTTACTATAGGTCAAGTTAATAAGAAGTCTTCTCCTTTCTCTTGTCTTGGCAACACTTTTTATCCATTCATAGTTTTAGTGGTCTTGTCTCTTTTTGATGACTGGTCCTATGCTACTTTTTTTTTTGGGAAATTCTTGACAACATTTGTCATCTTTGAACATTACATATTTGTCCAGTTAGTTCCCAGTCTGCACATAGCATTTGACTAGTTAGTGCTACATACCAACCTTGTAATTTCATTGTGGATTGCTAGTCATCTTGTCAAGTTGACGATATTTATATCCTTATCTCGTCTAGCCTATTGCATGAGTTGTATTGAAACCATATTTACAAATGTACTCCAAAATCTTACTATCCTATTTAAGAGAGAGAAATATGCTCCCAGACCCTTTTCCTGAGGTCCACCTCCAAGGTCCCTTTTGGACCTACAGAGACCTTTTTCGGTGGTATTCGATCAACGGAGTCAACCTACTGACTCCTCTTTCTTTCTTTTCTAGCATCCTTTTTCCTTTTCCTCAAGTATGGGTGAAGATATCATATATTTTGCAGTAGGATTTAAATCGTACGATATCACTAGGATGATCTCAAGAGCCGAGACTTTGTTATGATTAGGTAGAAAGAGGGCGTAGCATGATTATAAGAACGAGTTTTAGCCAGAAGGTGGTGGAATGGATATGCCATGTCTTCGGAGAAGAGTCACTAAACCAAAGGTAATGTAGTTAAAAGATGGAAATCTCACGAGCATGTCTTAGAATTCTTTTTCCCTAGAAACTTCAACAAATTTGGTCGTCACATTAACATTATTGCAAGGGAAAAGGAAAGCAGTAACATCATTCCTGAATGCTCTTTCAACTCAGGGTGGTTAGACATTGCTCTCAAAATAATGGACTTCATTAATGCTAAGAGGACAAGGACAGTGACATTAAAGCAATGAAATACAGAGAAGGGATTACTGTATATTGAAACAGTTAGAAATAATAAATGGTTCACAAGAGAAATGAATGCTGCTAAAACCCATAGACAAGGAAATCTGTTGGTGATTTTTGATGAGGCAGGGAGAACCCAGAATGAACTTTAGGCTAGAAGTGTAGTAGGCAGTTTTCCATAGGAAATTCCAAGTGTCATCTTGTCGGAGATACTCTGATGGTCAGCGAGTACCTGAAAGCATCTTCATGGTGTAAACATCTATGAGATGGGTCGAACCAATTTCTTTTCGAACTCCCCACAAAGAAGGATGTTGACCACATCGTGAAAGGAACCTGGTTTTGGAAGAATCACTAACCCCAACACGACTGGTGGTCGCCAATGTCAAAACTGATAACAGAAAATCTGAAGTAGGTGTGGAATTGGCTGGTAGGGCTATCACTACAGTTCTGGCCTCAAAAGTTTCTCCAAATAATAGGTGATCTTTGTAGTGGATAGATTTAGATTGAGAAGGAAACCGAGCTGTGAAACCATCTAAAATGGGCAGGATTGAAGGTTAGAGGAGATAAGTGTCGGTATCAAAGGTGGTGGAGCTAAGACACAACAAAAAAATCTTCAAGATCCAAGTTTGGGTATAAGCTCCAATGAGAGTAGTAACTGAAGGTCTAAAAGAAAATCTAGCCTTTGCACAACGGTCCATAGAGAAACACTAAAAAAGAGGAGACCTAGGACATAGAAAGGTGATTAGGAGTGTGGGCACCTCTAATACCCAAGGAAATTTTAATTATACAGCTGTCCAAACACGTGACTTCACATGTGAAAAAGTAGTGGGGTCAGAAAACACATGGGACATCACATGACCTCAATTTAAATAAAGGCAAAGAGAAAAAGAATGGGCTTGGAATATTTGGGCCAGGATCTGATGGCCCAATGGACAAATGTTTTTAAAAAGGCCTCAGTAATTAAAAGCTTGGAGACCCTTTAAGTGATGAAGCTGAAGCAAATTAGATTAACAACAAGATTGATTTTTCTTCGACAAAATAGATTAGAAGAATGTGGACTTCTTTTATGAGATCTTGGTCAAATCAATGAAAGAGGTAGTGAGCAGGCAATTCAAATTAAGGAACCAGTAGACGAGGATGTCATGACCATAATACATATTGACGACAGAAGTGATATAGTCAAACATTCCATTGGGGCACTAAGTGTAGAAGAGGCTATTCCATTGAATTCAACACAATTGACACAGAATATTGACCCAGACTCTCATTAATCAGTATCTTTGTGGGTTAGACAAAACATCCTTAGATTGGGTGAAGAATTGGGGTTCATTCTCAGGGCTGTGTGGAAATAGTAGAGGAACATAAAGACTGATGGAAATAGAGAAAGCTCCATTAAAGAAGCGAAAGCCTTGATTTCGATGACTCCCAAAACAAAGTTTTGAAGGAACTGAAGAGATTGGAATTTGGAAATAATTTTTCGGTTACGGCATGAGAAGCAGGGGATGTAACATGGACCAAATTAATGAGGGTTAATATCGTATCATGAAACGTGAGGGGTCTCGATCTTGTCAGGAAGAGACTCATGATTAAAAGTTTGATGCACAATTGGAAAGCTGGCGTTTCCTGCTTTCAAGAGACAAAATTACAAGGAGATATAAAGGATATTACCAAAGATTTGTGGTCAAATAGCTGGGTGAAATGTGCAACTAGAAGCAAGTGGCACAAGAGGGGGCATTATTTGCATGTGTATAACTTGCAAATTTGTGGGCAAAACACAAGATTTTAGTTGGCATATGGCAGGAGTCTATACTCCAAATAGCAGATCAGAAAGGGAGGAGAACTGCTCAAGATATAACAAAGCTTATGATGGACGACTCTGATTTCGTAGAGGGTATAAGCTAGTGGACCAATTAGCAAGGAACGGTTGATGTTGCAGCCAAATTAGATAGATTTTTGATATTTTAAGCATGGGAGAGCTCTTTTAGGAATATCAAACAACCAATCCTACATGGAGTAACTTCAGATCACTATACTCAAGACAACTAGAAGAGATCAAATTCATTTTTCAAATTCGAGAATTGGTGGTTACAGGCAGAAAATTTCAACGAGAAAGTAAAGTTGTGGTGGGAGCCTCACAATTGTAGAGGCAGACATTTTTATATTTTAGTTGATAAAATAAAATATTTGAAAGGCAAACTAAAAGAGTGGAGTAGAACTACTCTACGACGATTTGGGACTACAAAAATAGAGTATTCTAAGCTAGCTCACACAGCATGAGGTAATTCAAGACCAAAGACAGTTATCTCATGATGAGATCTATCTATGAGCAGTTATTATGGTAGAGTTTGTAGAGAATGTAAAGAGGGAAGAGGGGGTACGGAGACAAGAGGTACAAAGCTCTATGGTTGAAAGAAAGTGACAGGAATACCTAGTTCTTTCATAGGACTGCGAAATGTCACAAAAGATGCAATAATATAGACAAACTTTTTGTGGATGGCGAGTGCACAGGGGATCCAATAGTAATTAGAGAGGAAATTGGTCAAATCTTATCTGAATTTGTACACAGAGTTAGAGAGATGGGATACCTCAATTTAACCATAGATCAGGATCTGTTATTCGTGAAGGATACAATATAATCCTACAAAGTTAGTTCAGTGAGTCTGAGATCAAAGATTGTGTTATGACATGTGCTAGGGACAAGGCACCTAGACCTGGTGGATTCACCATGGCATTCTTCATCAATTGTTAGGATATAGTAAGCAAAGAAATAGTGGCAACAATTCAAAATTTTCATGATCAAAACATCTTTAAGAGGAGCTTCAATGCTACCCTTTATAGCCTTGATTCCAAAGAAGTTCGGGGCTAAAAAATTGAAGGATTTTAGACCTATTAACCTAATAGGTAGCATTTATAAGATCATTTAAAAGGTGCTATCTGAAATGTTGAAAAAAGTAGTATCCAAATTGTTGGATGCACATTAGATGACTTTTATTAAGGGCAGGAAAATCATGGATGCTATTGTGATTGCTAATGAGTGTGTAGATGTAAGGCAAATCAGTAAGGTCCTTGGCATTCTCTGTAAGCTGAATATAGAAAAAGCCTATGACCACTTACATTGGGGCTTCGTCGGGAAGACTTTGAATAACATCTTGGGGAAAGAGGGATAAATTGGATCAAATTTTGCACTACTATAGTGAAATTCTCAATTTTGATTAATGATTCTCCCACATGTTTTTTTCTCATATGAGAGAGGTCTCAGGCAAGGGGATCCTTCTCTTTACCTTGGCAATGGAGGGTCTCAATGATATGGTAAGAACAACCCAAATAAATAGTTGGATAAGGGGTTCCAATTCTACATGGAGGATAATAGAGTCTAAGCCATTTTCCACCTCCAATATGTAGATGATACTCTGAATTTTTTGTGATGCAGATAGAAACCATATGAAGTTTTTAAGCTGTTTGAAGCAACCTCAGGTTTACACATTAATTGGGGCAAAAGCTTCAGCTACCCGGTTAATGAGGTACCTAGGATTGACAGACAGTCTGACAAATATTTTGGGAGGAAAGATTGGAGAATTGCCCATAATATATCTGGGAATGCCTTTAGGAGACCAGCAAAACAAAGGGCATCTGGAACAATGTACTAGAGAAATGTGAGAATAAACTTGCCAATTGGTAAAGCCAGTATCTATCCTAGGGTAACTCTGCCACTCTCATCAATAGTGTCCTTGATGCTTTGCCTACCTACATGATGTCTGTGTACCCTATGCCAACAAGTGTAAGAGATAGATTGGGTACCATCAGAAGTAATTTTTTTGGCAAGGAAATTGTGACCCAAACAATTACAAGTTTCACTTGGTCAAATGGGATCAAGTTCTAGTTAGCAAGAAAGAATGGGTTTGGGAACAAGGAACTTTAAGCTACAAAATCACAGTTTTCTAATGAAATGGTTGCGGAGGTTTTCATCTCCAGAACAATCACCACGGAAAGATACCATAAAGGCCATATATGGAATTTGAGACAGGGTGCATCACCAAAGTAGCAACACAACCATATGGCAATGGAGTTTGGAGGACAATCAGAAATTTATGGCCAAAACTTATAAACAAGTGCAAAATCAAGATAGGAGATAGAAGGAAAACCCTATTTTGGGAGGAAGGTTGGGTGGGACAAGAGGCACTCAAAGTTAGCTTTCCTTACCTGCTCAACTTGAGTCTAAAAAGTGGCCACGGTTATAGAGATGATCAGGGTGGCAACTTAAGGTTCAAGAGGCCTTTAAATGATTGGGAGGTGGGTAGGATGGTTGAATTTTTAGACGTCCTGGAGCAATGCAAGGGCCTCAAGAACAATTAAGAAAAACTATTTTGGGTTCCAGGCAAGGAAGGGAGATTCAAGGAAGGGAGATTCTTAGTCAGATCAACTTACAAAAACTCACAGAGGACCCACACTCAACTAAGCTATTGCCATGGAAAATGATATGGAAAGTTAAGGTGCCTTTCAAGGTGGCCTGTTTCACTTGGATTCTAGCAAAACAGGCTTCTCACTCAGGATAACCTATGAAGAGGGGTATCCCATTTTGTTCTGGGTTTTCTTTTTTGTGAAAGTGAGGCAGCCAATAAACCATCTCTTCTTACACTGTAGGGAGACTGAAGCTTTGACATGTTGGAATAGGGATGAAAATCAGTTAGGGCACAAGGAGAGATGGAAGATTGTCCCAGCTTACATTTGGTGGACTATTTGGTTGGAAAGGTACCAAAGATATTTTGAGAACAAGAGCTGCTCTATGGAGAAGATGAAGCTGAATTGTTTGGTTCTTCTCTATATTTGGTGTAAACATGAATATCCTCAAGAAGATGAGGATATTCGTAGTATTTTAGATTGCTTATGATTCCATAAGAGGACAATCTCAGTCATGTGTTTTTGATTGCAAGTATTACTGGTATACTTCCTGAGTATTCCTTTTGCTTATAATAAAATTGAGTCTAAAACACCAATAATAGATACAGTAGCATTTGGGTATAAACTGATTATACCAAAAACGTAGTATCAAAAGTCAATTCAACTTGCATAGGAGCAGGGGTTTTACCCTGTGCGCACCCAAAGGGTAGCGGCTGTGGGTTTCCCTTGTCATAAAAAAAAAAAAAAGGTCAATTCAACTTAATCTTTTGTATACTTTCTATATTCTCAAAACATCTAGAGTTCCTTTCCTTCCATATAGTCCACCAAATGCATGCAAGGACAATTTCCTTGTACTTATAGCGTTCATACCTGCTTCCTCCCTGCTCTGAAGTGCTTCTGGAATCTTTCCGAGCATAGTCCAAGACATGCCTTCGAGATTTAGGAATTGTCTCCAGAGTTGGCCTGTGATCTTGCAATGAAGAAAATAGATAGTTAACTGTCTCAGCAGTTCCGCTAAAAAGAATCATCTAGAACATATTGTTTTCCCTCTCCTCATCTTGAGTCAGTACTGCCTCCTTAGCTAGCAACCATACAAAACAAGTCACTTTGTGTGGTGTTTGTTTTTCCAGATGCATTTCCAAGGCTTATTGCTTGGCTGTTGGTTGGAGTGATTCAGCCTACTGTACACAATAGTCACCTTGAAAGACCCCTTATTAATTCCCTGCCACCAGCCCACCATAAAACATCTTGTCCTGCCGCGAACAATTGAAATCTTCAATTGTGTTGAAGAAATCAGCCGCTCTTTGGATCTCCCAAATCATTTAGATGTCTTCTTAAGGTGAAGCTCCAACCTTGAGGTGTCCCATGGTCTGCAATAGTCCTTTGATGATGAAGAACTATATAGTGTATGTCTAGGAAGAGTGATTGCAGGTTGCTTGCCTCATGCCAATCATCCTTCCAAAAGTCAGTTCTGATAGACCTCCATAAGTTTACACCATAAGGTTCTGTGAATTGTTAAAGATATCTGGTCACAATATAATAGATAGAAATATAGAACTACATGTTGTCTCATAACAGATGCAATCAATTTGTCTCACGATTGCGTGACTCAGTCTTAGGGTAATGTCAGGATAGTTTTATTTTAGCGAGAATATGTTCACGTGGTACTTTTTCTTGTATAATAATTATGGTGTTTGTTTCCACTAGGTACCTATATCATTTCACTAGTACATGTACCGAGTAACTTTTCACATCAAGACTTGGGCAGATGTTTAGAGTTCATCGAACTATTTTGTCTTTGTGATGACTCAAATTCGATCTCATATGATCTTCATCCTAATTTCATCTTTAAAAAAGTGTTCGTGTGGCACTACTCGGAATAACTATTCAAATAGTACTATTCCAACAACTTTATTCCTCTAGTACTATTTCAATGGCACTATTCATGTGAATACTATCCTGAGGCCTTTATTTTAATTAAAGTTAAAAAGTCTGCATACTTCGCTTAATTCAAAGTATTTTGAACTTAAGTTATTTAACCACCTTGAGATTGAGGGTATGCTGAAAATAAAGAAAATCAATGTAGTTATATTTTAAAGTATGTCTTCATTGTATTTTTTTTTTTTTTTTTATTTTTTTTTTTATTTTTTTTTGTATTTTTTTTTTTTCTAAAAGTCTGCATACTTCGCTTAATTCAAAGTATTTTGAACTTAAGTTATTTAACCACCTTGAGATTGAGGGTATGCTGAAAATAAAGAAAATCAATGTAGTTATATTTTAAAGTATGTCTTCATTGTATTTTTTTTTTTTTTTTTTAATTTTTTTTTTAATGTTCATTGTATTTGAGTAAGTGATGTTATAGAAATACCTAACTTTGTTAGGCGTAGAGAGTTAACACTTAATATACTGTATTTTTTTTGTTTTGAAAATGACACTTACTATACTGTATTTAGGCTAAAACTTCTATAAAAGGCACCTTTCTCGGACATTGCTATTTGTGAAGTTGTGCTTTTCTCTTTTTGTATGCTCTATGTAGTTGGAACATTTTAATGTATATGCACACATCAACTAAAAGTCTTGCAGTTAAACCTGGTGGCCCATTGTATCAATGTCAAATCAATAAAGCAGCCTGGCTTTTGGCTATGCTACGTTTAACAACTAAGGTTACAAGAAGATCTAGAATAGCTCAGTCTTTTGGACTTGGCTGTGCTTTTTGGGCTGGTCAGGGTCATGGGATGCCGACCTCAATGAGGAATGCTCATTCTCCCTATCCAGAGCGAATGAAGGAAAGATGCTAGCCTGGGGTTTCTTAGATGTCATCTGCCACTATCTCATTCTGATTTATTTCCTTAACCCTCAAAAAGAAAAATATCATAATAATAAACAAATAAAACATACTGGGAAAACTTACAATTCTACAGGAAAAACATTCATGACTAATGGTTTTGCATGGTTTGTGTCTGCTGACTGATTCTACTTACGTCGCGTATCAAATGATAATTTTTATTTTTATTTTGCAGGCTGGAACATGGGAGGAGAAAAATCTAAATAAATGGGCGAATGAACGAATTAAGGTGTGAGCACAACATTCTCTTCATCACATTTTGAAGTGATCTTTTTTAAAAACTTCCCATGAAATTGCCTCTCCTTGCGATGTTCAATGCTTCCATCAGCCCATCAGATCTAATGAGCTCTGCAATCTGGTGGTATCAGATCTTTTGAAGATCTGTTTGGTGTTCTATATAAATTTCCAATAAATTATGATCAGGAGCTCGTTAGAACAGAAAATAAGTTTAGAGTATTGAGTATATTATCTTTATGATAGACAGACAATAATGGGGCTAGAGGATCTGATTGGCCCCTTCTGCCAAAATGCTCTAAAATAAGCTAGATTTGGTTAAGTGTCTCCCTCTTTCTGTTGCCAAAGTCTGAAAGGCTAAAACAAAAATCATCATATTTGACATGAACTGCAATGGTTAAACATCATAGCACTAGGATTCAGTTATTTTTGAAGGCCTTTTAACTGTGAAATAATATGGATGATATTATTTGCAGTAAATTAGAAAGACATCTTAGATATCATGTAATCTGTGAATGTGATAGAGAGTTATGATTCCTTTTAGGAACGTCTCTCATTTAGAATGAGAAACAACCAGATTGTAACCTATGAATTGAGGCCATGAAGGTGACTTCTAGGGGAGTCTTTTAAGCCATGTAGGTACATGGCTCAAGGGGTAACCAAATGGAAGTACTGCCTGTTAGGAATGAAAGCTAGAACTTAATTAAACTCCTGAGCCAGTTAGACACCTTCGAGGACATGGGCAATAAGAAAATGGTACTAAAGCTAGTTATCTTTACAGCCTATATGATCAGACTTTATAGTTCTATGTCACTTTGTACTTCTCTACAAATCAATGAGCCTTTTGAAGAATGATTCGACACCCCAACTATAGAGGGAATCAACAACAACATACCCAATGTAGTCCCCCAAGAGGGGTCTAGGGAGGGCTGGATGTACACAGCAGACCTTACCCCTACTTTTGTGGGGTAGAGAGGCTGTGTCTGATAGAGGAATCAAGTACACAGACCTTATAATTCAAAGTGGGGTTGTCAACAGTCTAAGCTGAAACCCGCTTAATGCTTTTTTCGATGAGGTAATATTATTATTTGATTTATAATCAAAAAGAAAAAGCTTATAAGCTTGGAATTATCAGCTGTTCAATGAATTCTCCGGGTGGCTTTCAGATTTTGTGAATATAGAGCCCAAAATTTGATTTACAGTTTTCTAGCCTATGTGAAAACTGTCCGGCGTCCTGGGTATCAAGGAGAGTCTAATTTGCAACTTCGATACATTTTTTTGTCTTTCTGAAAACTTTACCCCCTCCCTCTTTTCCTCATGCTCTCTACACACACACACACACACACACACACACACACACACACACACACACACACACACACACACACACACACACACACACACACACACACACACACACACACACACACACACACACACACACACACACACACACACACACACACACACACACACACACACACACACACACACACACACACACACACACACACACACACACACACACACACACACACACACACACACACACACACACACACACACACACACACACACACACACACACACACACACACACACACACACACACACACACACACACACACACACACACACACACACACACACACACACACACACAAACACATATATACATATATTATTACTATGTAGAATTATGCTAAAAAGTTCTAGTCCTCACAAGAGTGAATCCGGAATATTAGTTCTTTGGTGATGTGAAGTTGCCACACACAACACTTGATGTTGCCTTTTTCTTGCATATTCCCATTTTTCCCCTCACCGTTTTTTTTAGACCATTCCCACTTGGGCCTTTGTAATTGGTGTGATCCAATTGTAATTTCTATGGATCTCTTCTTACCACTTATTGATTATTTTTGAGTTAATACTCCCTTCATGTTAAATCAATAATCACTTTAACTCAAAAAAGTTATCCTAAAATAATTATTAATCCAAAGTTAAAGTTTGTTGGTATTTTCAACTATACTTGTAGTTCTTTTTAGTTTTGTTCAATTCTTGAAAACATCTATCTCCGTCCCAATTTTATGTCTTAGTTTGACTGTGCTCGGGGTTTAAAAAATAAATGGGATGTTTGAATCTTATAGTCTTAAAAGAAAGATGTGATAGTCCTTTAAATCTCGTGATCTTAAACTTAAACTTGCCATGTAGAATGATAGAATTGGAATACTTACTAAATATAGAAACACTCTTTTTGGGATGGACCAAAATGGGAAGTAAGACACTTAGATTAAGATAAAAGGAGTAATAAATAGGATAACTCAGCAATTAATACTTTGTATTTATTGTTTTTATTAATGGGCATGATAAAAGCTATCAATAAATAAAATGGGGCGGATGGGGGTATTTTTTGAAGGGGCATGTAAAAAATGAAATGACAAGTAAAATAGAATGAATGAAGTGCTTTATTAATGTGTGTTAATTATTATTTATTAATATCCTTATAGATCATTATTAAGTAATTTGTGTTTAGGCTCTAAATTAAGGTTTTAACTATTATAATATAAACTTGCATTCGTTGATTTTTTGTTGTATTAGATGATTCTATAAGACGAAATAATAAATTGTGGAATTTTTTGCCACATGAAATTATGAGTGAAATTAACAACAAAACCATATCCAGTTTAGTCCCACACATGGGGTATGAGAGGGTAGGATGTGTGCAGATCTTGACATTCGACTCAAAAGAGAAGTTTCTCGAAGCAAGGAAAATACAATTGCAAAATAACAAGATACAAAGCAAATAGAACAATAGATAGTACCACATATTGAAGAATAAGAAACAAGCAATTACTAACTACTACTAATAGGAGGGGAGGAGATGAGGCTATAGCCCCCTACTTCTCCCACATATAGTGTGGCAACACTCAACTACCTACAAACTTTCTATTGCAATTCTCGATCTCCATATCTTTTTATTTAGGGTTTTGTCCTTGGTACGTTGGAGTTTAGCCATGAACTGTCTAATCACATCCCTCAGTTCTTTGGCTTACCTCTACCTCTCCTATCCTTGCTATAGCCAACCTCTCATACCTCTTTACTGTGCCATCTGTGCACCTTCTCTTCACATGTCTGAACCATTTCAGTCTTGTCTCCCTTAGGAGTGAAATTAAAACTTAAATAAATATTGAAATACATTTATTTCTATCTGATATCTATAACTAAGAAATTTACATGCTCACAAATTTATAAAAATGCCAATATTTTTTTATTTATGATCTTCATCGAAGTGTAATTATTTACATATTTAAATACTTGTCCACTTGTGTCCTTTGATAGTGTAATTCTCCAGCCTAACTTCGTTCCTCATAAATACATTTTTTATTTAAAATTATCCAATTATGTGATTAAGAACTTCAATAATTACGTAGACTTATCAACAAGACATGTTTAATTTCTTTTTGAAATCAGTAAACATAATATGCCATTAGGTTTTTTTTTTTTTTAAAAATCAGTTACTTAATATGCCATTAGATTATATTAAGTATAAAGTAAAAAAATATAATACAAATTATACTTCTTTAATTAAAATTACACTTCCATTCATCCTTCTCTCTTCCTTTTCCTTTGAATGTATTATTGCAATGGAAGTCTTAGGATGCTCTATTTATGTCAGCAACCCAATCCCAGTGGCTCCTAGTCTTGGCTCTCCTCATGCCCCCTATCTAATTGTGTTTTTTCTTATGCAAGAGAAAAATCTGCTCTGTAATTATAAGTTCCATCCGGCATCCACCACTCTTTTTGTTTTTTGGGATAATAAATTGTAAAATATTACCATTACCATCAGAAAAAGGGTACATACAGAGCACACAAAAGATCTAGCCACCTTCCTAGAAGGTTTCTAATTTTCTATGTCTTCTTCATACTCTTAATGCATTGTTTATTAATGCTTCTTCACAGTATGAGTTCTCTGAAATCACACGGGGTGACCAATTTATGATGTCATGATGGTTGATTTCATAGCTGCCAGATTGCCCATCATCAGTCTATTAGTAATTTATGCATGTTCCTTTACACTATACAAATTATTTGAAGTTTCGAATATTTATTTTGAAATTATTTTTCTACTTCTTAACATGAGAAATGAGATCTGGTAGCAGTTCTCCAAATACTAGATCTCCTTGTAGCTATGCAAGTCCCTCACCTTTCTATGTTAACATTAGAAACTGTAACATTTTAAGATATCTGATTGGTTGTTTTCCTTCGGGGACATCAGATTAACATTTAACGTGAACTCTTAAAGATATCTGATTGGTTGTTCTCAAAGCACTTTCTCCTTACAATTATCACAAGTTTCTAACCTTTCTTAGGAAAGCGGAAATAAAACCTATTTTTGGATGTTTGGTAGAAAGTGTAAAACCAACTTAAGCTATATATAAAAAGTAAATGTTGAAAATGTAATGATTTGCAATTTTATAATAATCGGATTGTATCATTATGCTTTTATTTAGTTCAACGTAGTACCATAAGCTCCTAATGTTCAACAATTATGTCAATACAGGGAACTTTTTCACGCATGGATATGATCCATGGTGTGCCTTCTTTTTCTATCTTGTTGTATTTTTGTATTAGTTGCTTCTTTGTGAATCTTTATGTTAAAAAAAGTTCACAATTCTTTTTGTGTTTTGAAAAATATTCTGAAAAGTTACAATTTTTATTTAATATGATAAGAATCTTATTACTGAGATCGAAAGTTAAACCATACATGTGTGTGCGCACGTGTATTATTTGTAGGTATGTATCTATGTCTATGTTGCCTGATTCTCTTGAATGGCAGGAGCTGCTCATATCTGTGGGATCACTGGTGTATTCTGGTGGCAGAGCAGAAGTGGCCGAAGTAACACGATGTTCTGGTGATGTGAGTGCTTTGTTTTTTTCTGTTATGCCTAACATAGTTTAGCTAATTGAGGTTGATAAGGACTTTTTTGATTCTTTTTTTTTTCGTTACTTTCATCTTTGCTTTTCTCTTTTTCTTTTCAAGAGACAATGATATGGGGAAGGTGAACTTTATTTAAATAAATGGTATGGATAAAGTGAAAATATGAAGTATCTAAAGCCTATCAAAAATTCTTACGTGGTTTTAAACTATGTTACACATAGTTTTGCAGGACCTTATCAAGGGGATTGGATCTAATTATATAGTTGTATATGGCTGAAGTGTTTAGGAACTAAAGAATTGGTTGGGTTTAACAGTTTCCTCTATTCCCATCTATTTACTTTATGAGTGTATTTACAAAGAATCTCTTAAATGGAGATAGGCCAAAACGATATATATTGTCGTACAGTCAAAACCATCCACTTCCACACAGGTGTATTTTGTAGTCTTATCATTTCTGTATCTTTCCTCATGAAGTTTGGATAACACAACAGGCATTTTTGGTGACTGTACGGAATAAAAAGCGTGTTGGCTATACATATGAGCTCACGATCAAAGTCAAGGGTACTTCTTTTCTCCTTTGAAATCTGTTTCTTGAAGTTTTCTACCCTTTAACTTTCTAAACGGTTTCCATGTTCTTTTTTCATTTAACAAGCAAATAATGTTATACTGTAATTAGGGGAATGGCTTGTTGGAGATGAGAAAAAGGTGATCAAGGGCCATATAGATATACCAGAGTTCTCATTTGGCGAGATAGATGATTTGCAGGTACTTTGCTAGACATGTTTTTATACTTCCATATAAGAAACCATTGGAAATAAATATTTGGTAGTATGATAATGATTTTGCAGAAAGAAGAAAAACTATTATTGCCCTTCATTGTTTAGACGAATTTTATCTGGCACTTACAGTTTAGACAAGAATACATATTAATTTTTTTCTAAATAGAAAAATAAATAATGTCCTTCCTTGATGCAGACGTAAGAGAAATAATATAGCTGGTGCCTGTATTATTTTTTTTGCTGGGTAGAAGTTTTCGTGTTTTTCTTGCATTTCGAAGATTTGACAACCTTTCTCCCCAAACTTACGGAAAGAAATATGTTCGTAATGTAATTTTCTTTTAGCTAGTTACTATCAAGTTTTGTTGTTAATTTGTAGATTGAAGTGAGTCTTAGTGAAGACAAGGATCTTGGACAAGAAGACAAGCATCGAATAAAACAGGATATGAAGCAATTTTTGCAGCCTTTTCAGGAAAAATTGCTCAAGTTCGAGCAGGAACTGAAAGAGTTGTAGTATGACTGTTGCATTTGGTACTATTTCTTGAAGCTTTTTTTTTCTTTTTTCTTTTCCTAAGACGCTTGTGGTCTGGACTTGTGGACGAATGTCCCTTAGACTCGAAAGTGTTACTTCTACTCATAATCAAAATGTAATACTTTAGCACAACTTATTAAGAATATTGGGACTTTAGATTATTTGATGTCGTAGTGCTGGTGATTGTTCCCTTGTTATTTGAGAAAGAATGACCTAGTTTGACTTGACTCGGAGTTTAAGAAAATAAAGAAGATTTTTAAATTTTGTGGTTATATATTAAAGTAATGTCAAATGTACTAATATGTTATTTTAGTTTTGTGGCCTTAAACATGCTATGTGAAAAATTGAAATTGAAGTGTTAAAAAAGAAAAGAGGGTATTTTGACTAAAAAATAAAGCAGGTTATTCTTTTTGAAATAGAGAAAGTAGTAGTTTTAGTGCACGATTGAACCTAATGTTTCTTGGTTCGGAGCCTAACACTTTGTTTGGATCATTGTTACCCATTGTTTTATAATGTACTGTATTGTATTGTACTCTATTGTATTGTACTGTATGATAGATACAATGTTTGGCTAGACTGTATTGTTTGCTGCTGTTTAATAACATTTTTATTGTTTGGTTTGACTGTATCCTACTGTATTGTAATTTATAAATTTACTAAAATATCCTTAATTATTCTAGGGTAGGAGGTTTGACTAAAATTAAATAATATAGGGTAAAAGGTAAAAAAGTAATATGAAATATTATGTAAGGATATAAATGAAAAAAGAAATTAAGTAATAACGGGAACACACCAAATCGGTTGTTTCATAAAATGGGGTTTTTCATTGTTACGTAATAATGAAATTTAACAACACTATACAATGCATTTTAAGTAACAACCAAAACAAACATTGTAGGTATGATAACGATACAATACAATACAATGGGTAACAATGATCCAAACAAAGTGTAAATGGTGTTCACATGAATTTTGTGGGAACATTTTTTCTCTCTTCATATGTATTCGTGTATAACTCAATCTCCTCTCCTCTCCTCATGCCTTGGCCTTCTAAAGTAGTAAGAGCATCTTAGTAAAATTAATAGTATAAAACAAAATTTAAAATGAGACCAGTGCATGAGACTTTAAGTATATGCAAATAAATGTAACAAAATAATAATTTAGAATTTGCTGTAAAATTAAGCTCAAAATAACATAAAGATAAAGATTTTATTATTATTATTATTATTATTATTATATAAGATAAGAGGGAAACATTATGAATTTAATTATAAATTTGACATTAACTTTTGAGAAGATGGAAAACATTATGGATTTAATAATTAATGATAATATGATTGTAAGATACAAAAATATAACTTTCGTTATGTAGATGGAATAATCTTCTTGCATTTGACCATCTCAAAAACATTAGTTATAAATAATATATTCATATCAATATTTGATTTCATTTAAATATCTTCATATAAAAGTGAAATTATATGTCACGCTCCGAATCTACACCCTAGGTGTGACTCACATTCGAGAATCATTGTTGGTTCCCATGTGAACTTTTGTCCTGGCTGACTACTAAGCGGAAGACTAACTCAAGCATACAAAAATATCAAAACTGAAGAATTTTTTAAAAACAGTTTATTAAATCTCAAAGGTAAATGAAAATACTGAGCATCTAACATAAATTTTAAATAAAACATCTGAAATTGAATATTGAAAGACTGATCAAGACTGTCTATCTATGAAACTTATACTGCATAAAGATAGGTGTCAATACAAGACCCACGACACCTCAAAATGCTACTACTAATAAATTATAAAATTGGAGTCCGCGAAAGCAAGGAGGACTCACTAAAAGCTGACGAGCAGATGATGTGATCTCAACAGAATGATGATCCTAATTACCTGAATTTGCATCATGAAACGATGCAGGTCGAATGACATTAGTTCATTGAATATACGAGTATGTAATAGGCTAAATAAAAGAAATAGCTGAAACTGAAGTATAGTGTAAATCATGATGAAAATTATTTATACTCTTTCTGTAAGAATGCAATAATAGTATATACTGATCTGAAATATATAAATAAAAATATACTTTTACTTACTTTACTAGGGAGTTTCACTAATCGACAAACATCACTATGAGCCTCGTGATGATACAACATCTTACCCACATTGCCAGAGCTGCCCTATACCTTACAAGAGTATAGAACACAAATGAACTGATGACTCCACTAAAAAAACTTCTTGAGGCAGGTGAGGAGTCACCGGTCTTGTTGTATAATCCTATCTACGCTGACTACATAGTTTATGGGACTGTGAGTTATCTGAACTATCCTCCAAATCGGTGCTCAATACTCTACTCCCAAAATATATAAGTGTATGTTCATATAAAATACTCATTGGGTTGACATAATTACTCAAAAGGGCCTCTTTAAGAGGTTACTGAACTGTACTCTATCTTTCTAAAATATTCTGAAAATTCAAATACTTTTTTGAAAATAGTACTCTCTTTTCAATTTGAAAAATAATACTTTCTTTAAGGGGTAACTGGACTTCTCTTTATATGGCTGAAATGCTTTTTAAAACTATTTATGCTCTTCTTAAAAATAATATCCCTTTTTTCTCAATGTGAAAATAGTACTTTTGGAACCATTTGTGTTCCCTTAAACTCTTCTCAAAAGATACTTTAAAAATACTCTTGAAATCACTTTAAAATTCCAAAATCAATGCACAAAAGACTTTCAATAAAGATCTCATCAACTAGGGTTCATGTGAAATAAAATTATGAACCCAATAAGCTCAATGCATAAAATATCAAAATCTCATAAATAAGAACCCATGATACGAAATAAGGAACTCAATTTATATCTAGAATTTTGTGGAAATTCTTGAACAAACCACTGGACTGAACTCTTACGTACTGAATTGAGATGTAGGGCGTGAAGAAGAAATAGTCCAACACTATGGTTATCCTTACATACCCAGAAGAACAAAGTTCTTGAAGAAGTTTGAAAAAGAACTTGATTAAAAGCCTTGAAATCCTAGCTTTTGCCTTCCTTGCGGGTTTCTCTATGAGTTGGGCAGTTGAGAGCGTATAACTAAAAGGAAATTGTGTACTTTTTGGGACATATTCCCCTAACTAAAGTTAAAACGTCATGACTTGAGCTTAGGAAAAGTGGGAAAACTCACTTAAAAAACTGTCGAAAACCTTCCACGGGTTCATCTACGGTCCTTGGGTTGATCTACGGACCGTAGATACACTCAGTGGAATTCATATTGAAGATTTAAGGCTAAAATTTTCATTCTACGGGTCCAAAATATGACCCATAGAGGTTTCTATGACCCGTAGATGGGTCCATAGGATTGGACCCCAAAATTTGACTCCCAGTACTTTTTCCACAAGTTAAGAGCAATCTACGATCCATAGAAGGGTTTCGTAGTTCACTGACTTTAAAAACTCTATTGTGGTAGTCTCTGGTACAAATGATCATAACTTTTTACCAAACTCGAAATAAGGAAAACTTTGTGTTGTTGAAAGAGGACTTGTAAGCCTTTAATTTTATAGGTCATAGTCCACCTAATTCATTATATGATGAGAGATATGATCGTTTGTAGTTGGCCTAAATAGAATCTTAAATCAAAATGTAATCGGTAATGAAACTTTCAACTCAATTTTATGCTAGAGGATTCTAGTGACCTTAATTCATCACCAAATCCATTCTCATACTAAAGAACTGACCTTAACACCTAAAAGAAATTTAAGAATCACCCTACACGACCTTTTTCACAAATGAAGAATGATTCGGACCTTAACATAATTTTTTTTGGTGTGTTACAATATCTTCTTCTTAGGATCAATCATCCTCGAATGATGATTAAACTGAGCATGAAAGGGAAAGAAGTTACTCTTACTATAATTTTGACTTCTGAACTTGTCTACTAACATAGGCGGAACTGGTTGATATTGAGAGTTTTGAAAATAGACTAGAGCACGATTGACACGAACGCTCACATAATTTTCAAGATTACAGGTCATGACATGAAGTTTCTAAGAATCACAATAGAAGCATCAACTCTATCCCATCTTTCATTACCCAACTACTATCATCAACAATATTATCAAAATTAAAAGGGTCACTGAGGGAGCTTAGAACGAAAGATCATCAGCACAATTCATTCGAGAAATCTAATATAAGAATATGCATGACGTAACATTATGTTGCTAGACATTGAGAGTAAATTGTGAATTCGCAAGACTAAGTATCCTATGAGACACGAGTGCTTATATGAATAGATTCGTATCATGAGGCTTATATTCATAACTTTATGAAGTAAGATTGAGATCAATGGGCTAAAGTCTTTGCCTCTTATTCTGGAAATTTAGCATAAATGTGGATCTATTTGAAGTGTAGGAGAATAGGTCATGGATATTAGGTTAATATAGAGACATCAATCGGATGTTATAACGATGGAACTTTGAGGAATGTAGTACAATATGAATAAAATGATATATCTCTACAAATCTTTCTGAACACATCATTGTCTGATTCTTAACACTTGACTTGGTTCCTTACCTTATCATCTCCCCCTTATGTCTAAAGTCGACATTTTAAAGCTATGGATCTATTTCATATTTTCTAAACTAGTCTATATTTGCTTTACTCTAATACTCGGGAAAATGCCAATCTCATGTCTATGAACTTTCCATGCACAGGTACTAATATTCCTTCTAGGATTTCTTTCTTAGCTGCTTCTCTTAACTTCTTCCTGCTTCTATAGAAGTCTTTCTATAATCATTATCCACATTGTCTTATGAAGCCGCCTCATCTAGGTCTTAATAGCCCGACTTCTCCTTCTTAGACCACTAATACCGTCCTTCTAAGTTCATATCTACCCAACTTAAGGGAACTTAAACTTTATTTAAGAGGCTCATCATAGGCTATATATGATCCTTTCAACCAAACTCTCAAGGGTAATAGTAATATTTACATCAGCCTACTCCACATTGACAAATCAAATTTACTATCTAGGCACACATGAAAAATCATAAACTTAATTTGAAGCTCATCTGACTATACAAGATCTCGGGTACACCTCTTAATGCTCTTGTTAATCGAATGACTTAGTCACACTTCATTGCCCTCATCCAAGGGTCATAATATCACAATTGTACCACTCACATTCATTGCAAACTAATACCTTAATTCCTCACCTACTTTATGTCAAA